GCGCCCCAACTCCCCAATCGGCCCTGCTCTGAGCCTGACCAGGGGCTGCACCTAGGGATTGGGAGTGCCCTCTGCCACCCGGGAGCAGGCCTAAGCCAGCAGGTCGTTATCTCCCGAGGGGTCCCAGACTGGGAGAGGGCACAGGCCAGGCTGGGGGGCCCCCCCCCCCACCAGTGCACAAATTTTTGTGCACCGGGCCTCTAGTGTTGTATATATTTTACTACAATTTTTAATCAAGTTTTTCCTACTTAAATCTTTGTATGACTCCTGGTTTTCAGATGGTGTGTATAGCTCTGATGATACAATATTAGAATTCAAATAGTTCATCTTAGTGATGAGATGTACTCAGTAAAAGATTAAAACAATAAAATAGAAATAATATACTCCAATGACCTATTTTCTTTTTAAAAAAAAAATCTGTCCCAGAAATAGAAATTAAGTTGTTCATTCTCAAATATTTACTGAACACCTATGTTTGTTGCTAGGGATTCAACAATGAGGAAAAACAGATATAATCATACATTAATGAATATTACAAGCTGACATGTGGGGAATGGGAAGGAGAAAAACAGACATTAAGCAGATAATCACAAAAATGAGTGTTTAATTATAAACAACTAACATGGAGGAACATAGTTGGTTCTCTGCATGAGCACATCACAAAGTAGCCTGCCCCAGACTGATGGATTAGACAAGATTTTAAAAAAGACTGGAGTTACCTTGGTGGGGCTGTGAGAGTATTCAGGCAAACGGAACTGGACATGCAAAGGTCCTGTAGCAGGAGGCAAACCATGGAACCAAAGGAAGGATACAGCCTGGCTAGAGCCCAGAGGACACAGAGGAAAGTGTGGGCAAGGGACTGGAGAAACAGGCCAGGCAAAATCCCCTAGTCTTGTTGACTGGTGTGGGTGTTTGTTTGTTTTTACCCTAAATGCAATCAAAAGCCACTGAAAGGATATAAGATAGGAAACAGCAAAATCAAAGTTGCATTTTTAAAAGATCACACGTAATATAGGAATTAGAAAGGTTTCAGGATAAAATTTCCTCTCTACTAAATCAACACATCCTGACCTTTCCCAGAATCAGACTTAGCACTGGGAGGCCTAAGTTTCTAGTCTTGATTCTGTCACTAATTAAATGTGAATCTTTATATAAGTTACCTCACCATTATCTCTAATATAGTCTATCCTAGACGACTTCTTAAGCCCCAAACAACTCAAAAAATTCTTTTTCTGGTATCCTACCTTCCAAATTTAGTCCTCAGAGTCCAGGCAAAAGAGAAATCCAGTGTCTACACAATTACCTGTTCTCTGAGACTGAGGCTTTGCCCCAGCCATACCTCCCTAACAATGTACATGGCACTCCACCCTCCAGCCATGTGGGTGTAGACAACAAACATGAAGTAACAGGCTAGAACATCCACCAACTACTTACTACTTACTAACCACCTCAAGGTTTACTTTGTTCTAAGGAACTTTGTTTCCTCAAAGGGGTGGAGGAAAGGTCAATGTAGTCATTGTGGTAAACTGATGATTTTTTCCTTTGCATATTGTACAAAATACACTTTTCTTTTTTTTTTGTTCCACTTCACTTTTTAATGAAACAAGGGTGAAATCTATGAAACCTCCATGGCTTCAATACTCTAATAATTATAAATCTTATTATATACCTTAGACTAGCAGTGTTTGAAATTCACAGTCTAGCTATGAGGAAGTTAGACCTAGCAATCTGCTGGTAGATTAAGTACCTGCTCCTAAAAAATTACTGGTGATTTGACAAGTGGCATACATTGATTGTCTTGGATAAATGGATGTGTCAGGTTAGGAGTGCTGACAGCCCAGCTGCAGTCCTCACAGGAAAAACCACAAGAAAACCACCTGACAGGCTACCCAGGTTCTTGCAGTTCCCCAGCCCTGCCCTCTCTGCACTGGGAGGTCTTCAGATGCATGGTCTGGTCACCTGATGGAGAAAGGTACTACCTGATCTCTTACAGGCCTGCAAACACTGAAAGAAAAGAAAGAACTTGACTCTCCAAATTCAGCTGAATGATAAATCAATTTTCATTTAAAGCCTTTCACATGTTCTTTTTGGAAAACAATCAGCAAAACTCATGTCATCAACATATTAATAATCAATTTTTAACCAGTCCCACTCATTTTTCTAGAAATGCCTCAGGATCTTATATTTTAACATCAAAGTGGAAGGCCTGACACAGCTGGGCAAACAGTATTAAAGATGCAGATCATAGCATCTGAATAACAAAAGGCGATTTCTTCCTGCTTTCACAACTTCTAAAAGATGTCAATTTCATGGCACCAAAACCATAATTTCAACACAAGAACAACATATAGAAAGAGTCCAAGTAAAGCTGAACTTAGAGTAGGTAGAGCAGGAAACCAAGGCATTTAAATGTTGCAGATTTTCTTCAGTGCTGCCTAATCCAAGATAGATAACAATAATAATATTTAAACCCAAGTCATTTTAGTGAGAACGAAACAGAAGACTAATCTGGTAGCGAGAACTCCTCAGTAGGAATCAAGAACAGATCCAAATCCTATCTCTGAAACCAGTTGTATAAACAGACCAAAACAGAATTTCCTGAGCCTCTGAGTATACTTCTGCTAAAAAAAATAATTAAAAATTATAGTAATAAATAATTTATGATATTAGATGTAATATAAAAGTGACCTCCAGACTGCTAAATACTAAAGAAAACAAAAGAGATGGAAACACTGGAGGATCTGAAAGTACCTGCCTAGAAGGAACATAAGAGCCAAGATATGCTCTCATGTCTACAACACTGCTATTTTGGGTTTAAAATTAAACAAGTAGCAGCAGAAAGAACCCTAAAATTTCAAAAAGCATCTTACCAGGGTGATGTCTCGGGAAGCTGCAGCTGCGCTCATATGCAAACTAGGCTGCCGTACAGAACTGCTGCAATCAAGGGCTCGAGCGAATGTCCCAACAGCACTAAATAAACCACAAAAACAAAGAGGGAAAATCAAGAGTCTGTTATTTTTTTTTATATTTAAAGAAACACATTTTGGTAGTGAATGAAAAATCAAGTTCTTGGATGTTTGAAAATCAAGTACCAAATAAAAATAGTATTTTCTATAAAATTTAAGAATTGACAAGCCAATTTACCATATGAGTCATTACCATTAAATTAAAAGAAAAAGTAGGTTGTGAGGCATAAAGGAGGGAAAGATCTATTTTGAAATGCCACAGAGTAAACAATTTGGCATTCAAATGTGCTAAAAAATGAGAATTAAATTAGCTAGAATTCAACCATTACTGCAAAGCAAGTTCTGACCCCCTTTTTTTAGCCCAAATTGTGAAATCCCAGTAACATTTTTTCTTGAAATATGGTCAACCTCTTCTTATGAGGCCTCAATATATATTTCCATTTTTAAGAATTACCACACTGATTATCGTATGATTTAGAAAGACTTCCCACATGTAACGAACCCTAACTTCAAGAAATAAAGCATGAAACGACAATGACTTGCTCCTTGTCTATCTCTCTTTTAAACATGTTAGCTAAGAAAAAGTTTTTAAAAGGTTGTAATTAAACTATAACACGTGAACAAAAAAGTACACATAGTACACATTGTACAGCTATGCAGTTATGGCAAAGTGAATTCATCCATGTCACCAATATCCAGGGTCAAGAAACAGAAGATGACAGCACCCTACACTACTCCCTCTCTCCCTCTTCCTCCAAAAGAACCACTATCCTGGATTCTAACACTACACACATTTTGCTCATTTGGGAACTTAAATAGAACCAAATACTATGTACTCTTTTCGTGTCCATCTTTTTTTGTTCAGTTATGTTTGTGGATTCACACATGCTGCTAGCTGTAGCTGTGTTCATTCATTCTCCTTGCTGTGGCGCATCCTCTGCATGATGCTCCCCCTCCTCCCGCCACTCTACTGATGATGGATATTTGTTTCCAGTTTGGATAGTGATATTCATGCCATCTGCATATGGGTCTTCTGGTTAGATGATAACAGTTTACCTAAGCAGCTATACCAACTCATACTCCCACCAGTAGGATGAGGGAGAGAGAGGAAGTTTTTGGGGGGGGAGGGAGGTAGACAGTGATGTGAGAGAAAAACAATGATTGGTTGCCCTCGCTACCCTCCCCAAAAGGGATCAAACCTACAACCCAGGTATGTGTCCTGACCAGGAATCGAACTGGCAACCTTTTGGTACACTGGATGACGCTCAACCAACTGAGCCACTCTGGCCAGGCTCAACTTTATTTTTGAGATTTCTCTCTTTGCTATATATAACTCTAATTCATTCATTTTCATTGTTGTAAAGTAATATTCCATTTAAGTATTATTGCTTGCTGATGTACTCTTAGTTTTTTTCTAATTTTTCTATTACAATGCTATGATAATATCATTTCCCTTCTGCTTTGCAGGAGGAATTTAACCAGGGACCTCTTGATTCATGGGTTGACACTCAACCACTGAGCCACACCAGCCAGGCAATCATCATTTACTTTTATAAGTATAAAAATAAATTTCTATCCCATTCATTTTATCAAGAAAACAGGAAAAGAGGTCAGGTAGAGAGGAAGGAAGCCAGTTTGGCAGCCAGGCCTAGAGCTCTCAAAGGAAAGCCATATGCTCAGCAGTAAGCCTTCCCCATGCATGGGTGCAGGTAAGAGGAATTTGAGGCACGCATTATTCTTGACACATGACTAATCACTGCTTTAAATTAAAGACATGGGATTTTAGGAGTTGAATTTCCTCTTTATACTTTTGTGCAGTGCTTACATTTTTACAAGGTGTGTTTATTTTTTAATATATGAAATTTAATAAATCTATTTCATTTTTAAAACAGAAACTAATGATAATAAACCATTTTATTTAGGAAGTGGTGTGACATATATTAGGCTTTCTTACATAATTAAAAAAAATACAACCAATGAAAACAGCAGAATACAAAGAAAGGAAAATATGTATAAATTATTTTATAGAGAGAAAAGATGTTTTCACGCAATGTGTCATACTCACCGTGCTACAACTAAAAACTGGTCAATCTGTCGATCTGTAAGTGGGCTATTTGGGTCCCAAACTTTAACTTCCAATTTTGACTGTTCCCTCTCATCTGATTCTCCTGTCCGAGAGCAAGGAAAATGGAGTCTTATTACCCATAAGGCACATACACGGTCACATCTGACTGATGACTGCGGTAACCACAGCATTAAAAATGTAAGGTAAATGTTCATGGTTTTTTGGTACATTCTTTCAGACAGCAAATGTAGAACACTTTGTAAAGTGAACACTGATAAAAATGCAACCACACCATATGGTATTTTCATTTGTCATTAACATGTATTTCCTGAATACTTGTATGGGTGAGGCACTAAGCCTCATGCTAAGAGATATAAACACAAAAAAGAAAGCACTCCTGCAGAAAGACGCTTAAACTATAATAAAACTTACACATAAATAACTATGCTACAAATGAAAAAAAACACCAAAAACCCTAGATGTCAAAAGAGACATACAGATATGGCTGTAGAGAAATCATTTCAGGCTAGTTAGGGAGTGAGGTCATGCAGTAGGTGGCATTTCTGCTAAGAACCGAAAGGTAAAGGAGTCCACTGGCAGAAGAACAGGACGTAAGACTCAGAAAGGAACATGAGCAAAGTCAAGGGCTCCCAAATGTGATTAGAAAAGTAGTTTGTTTCGTCAGGAGTACATTAAGGGGAATCAGGGGAGATAGCTAAGGAAGTGGACTATGAACATGTTACTGTAGATGCCACATAGATTTTCTGAAAAGGGAGGTAATGAGAAGCCCTTGCCTTTTTAGTAAGGGGGTGACAAGACCAGAATCAAACTTCTCATCTCACACTTAACAATGGTATGTAATTTGCTCTATGGACATACCCGATGAAGACAGAAACAACATGACATGGACAATGACAACAGACAGCAAAGGGAGATTTAGGAATGTCAGGGACAGACTGGCGGCAGCGGGTAGATTTCAAGCCTCGAAAACTATAGGGATGGTGCTGGCATTATCAGAAAGAAGACTGAGATAATGCAGGAAACTTTGTTTCAGGAATCGCTCACAAAGAGACATAACCATCAGGCAGGACTCAATGTGAGGACAAAGGATAGTAATTGGAAACAGATTTGGGAGTTGACTGAAATTTTGATTTACAGCTATGGATTTCCTATCAGGCTAGGAACTGGTTTTGGCTTTGTTTTGCTTTTGAATAACTCCAACTACAAAATCAGGCAGTGCCTTGCACTGACTGACATACTATGAAGCTAAACATCCCTGACAAGCTAAGGCTATGGGCTTCTAATGTGTTCAGTCCTGGTATAGGAGCAAGCAAGCATCAATGGCTCAAACAGAGAAAGAGGGAGGACAGAATCAGCCATTCTACCTGTAGTCTCCTAAGCCAACCACTGCTGTCAGGTTGGGGACTTGCCCATCCTGCCCCTTGTTCAAAGGCAGATAACCAGAGAGCCTATTGCCACCCCCAACACACAGAAACGCACGCAGAGTAGAAAGAGTACTGGGCCAAACAGATCTAAAGTGTTGGAAAGGATTTCATTTTTCACTGTTTACAATCCTCAGCATGCTGAGCCAAGACATTCAACATTAGGTTCATAGTTAAAAACAAAAAATTTGCAAACTGTGTAAAACTTGAGAAAGGAGAATGTCACATTTACACTTCCCTATATCTTCCAGTAATATATTTTAAGTAAGTTAAATAGTAATGGTAAAAGAAAAGATAGTAATGATGAAAATAAAAATTTGATATCTTAATTTTTAAATAATACCAGATAAAATGACAATGCTACTCAGTATTGCGCCCCTCTCTGTTATATACTCCAGAACGAAAGGGTAAAACTGATATTTAATTTTCAAATTCTAGTAAAATTGATATTTCAATCCCACCTATTTATTCTGCAGCACACAGCAGAAAGAGAATCCATATCAGAATTCTAAAATAAATTTGCTGCAAACAATAAGAAAACACTCCTGGATGCACTTACACTAACACCTAAGATACAGATTAATACCATGAAATGAGAACAAAAATAGCAACAACAAAATGAAGATAGAAATATCAAACAGTCACTCTAAACTAAATAAGGATTCCCCATTTTGGATTCAACATATAATAACATTTATATAACAGTTTGATCACTTCTTTACAATTAAAAAAAAAACTTTTAAGAAGCTCTTGAATAATCTTATTTGGAATCTATATAACTAAATTCTCAGCTAAGTGTAAGGAGTACTCTTTGGAATGGTCTTGGCAATTGTAGTATGAGCCAGAGACTAGAGCAGCGGTTCTCAACCTGTGGGTCGCGACCCCTTTGGCGGTCGAACGACCCTTTCACAGGGGTCGCCCAAGACCATCCTGCATATCAGATATTTACATTACGATTCATAACAGTAGCAACATTACAGTTATGAAGTAGCAACGAAAATAATTTTATGGTTGGGTCACAACATGAGGAACTGTATTTAAAGGGCCAGAAGGTTGAGAACCACTGGACTAGACCAAGATTAATTCCATGCTCTACTCCTGTTCATTCCAGTCATCGCAATAATCTTACTTTCCTCCTCCATTTATGATAATCTGCTCAAGTCCCACATCATCAAATCATCCAGTTCATGAAGATCTCCCTAATACTTGAATTCCCATGAAATGTATTTACCAACTAACTGTATGAATTGTATATTAGCATCCTATTTTGGCACCAAGCAGAAAGGTCAATCAATCCTTTGTCCCCTTAAACCCTGGCTAATGCTTCCGCCACTGAGATATAAGTCATGTGTACAGTTTCAACAAAATAAAAAATGGAATTCAGGTTGCAGATGTTTTTGAACACAGGGAAATATCTTCATAAGCCCCTTCATCTATAATTCCAAGCTTCCCAATAGTTGGGTGTTGTTTTTTTTCAATTACAATTTACTTTTAGTATTTTGCATTGGTTTCAGTTGTGTAATATAGTGTTTAGACAGCCATATAGTTTTAACACAGTAGAAAGTGCCACAGATTTTAAGGCCACTAAATCAGCCACTACTTGCACTAGAGGAAGACATTTCTGTAGAATGTCCATCTTTTTTTTCTCTTAAGCTCTCTGTGAGAATACATGCTTTCCTGATCGCGGGGGAAAGTCTTAGATGAACTAACCCAACTTCCACACCATAATGACATTTTCCTACTTACCTACTGCACATGAGCTAATTCAAGGTCTTAAAGCATATGTTGCAGCAGGGAGACTATACTAATGTAACTCTTTAACTCTCAAAGATGGAGCCTCCTGAAGTTCTCAAACACTGACAAAAGTATTGAACTAGTAGCAGCAGACAGTGGTGACCAGGGGAAAGCAACTGTAGTAACTAACAATGTGTTGAGAGCTGTGCTAAATAAATTACTTCATTTGGTCATCACAACACTATTATACAGGGTGGAGCAAACATAGGTTTACAATTGTTCGTATGAAAAATAATACAATAATTAATAAATAATAAGAATAAGCTCTTTCACATACTCACAACTGTAGACCTACTTTTGCCCCCTATATACGTACATACATTATCCCCTTTTTAAAGGGGAAGAAATGGGAACTTAGAGGCGTTGAACAGTTTTTCCAAGGTTATTCAGCAAAAACATAGCACAGCCAGGTTTTACCCAAACCTGTGAATCCACTCATTGTAGTTTAATAATTTAATGTTATTATACTTTTTAGCAGCCACAATTTTAATTTAATATGTAAATAGATTTCTTTCTTAAATGTTCAGTGTTACAACACAGTGAATTAATAATTCAAAAATTTGCACATTATAATATCTTTTTCTACAGAAAATTCTCTAGGTGCTTTATTCAAACTCAATAAAAGATTTAAAATCTCAAAGAACCCTTTACCTTCCTTTGCAAACTACATACCAATCCAGATATTCAAGAGTTTGTTAGATGGTGAGCAGTCATAAATGAATTTCAAAACTCTAAAGTCACAAAAAGATTTATTCCCTAGCAAGACAAATGCCACAACAATATCTTAGAATCCATCAAGATATGTACACAAAGAATGTAAGCCTATAATATATTCTGACATGGTGCTGATGTTGCCACCTCCTCAGGATATTAATTCTAGTTCTGCAACCCATGCCAGTGCAAACTGGAATCTGGCCACTGATCAAATGTACCCACTCAAGAGCATCAAAGTAAATATCTGTTCTTTTTCTAAAAACTGTTTTTATTGATTTTAGAGAGAGGGGAAGGGAGAAGAGAAAGAGAAACATCAATGACATCGATCAGCTGCCTCCCACATGCACCCCAACCAGAAATGGAGCCCACAACCTGGGCAAATGCCCTGACCAGCAATCTAACCAGTGACCTTTCAGTGCACAAGTTGGCGCTCAACCAACCAAATGAGCCACACCGGCCAGGGCCATAAATATCCTTTCTTGAATATGATGTTTTCTACTATTTAATTTCCCTGCAAACAGGTACTAGCTATATATGGAAGTTTCTATGATGACAATGTCCATGTTTTTCAAGTGTGGTTTAACCACTGGCATACCTATTTGCAGCCCAACACCCTCTCCCTTGACAAAAATATTAATTAGAAAAAAGGAGTTCTTTAAATCTTGTATCTACTAGTAATTGACTACCTATTTATAACTGAAAAGAAACATTTAGTATATGCTAAACGCTTTAAGCTGAAATAAGAATCTAAAGTGACTTCTTCAATTATATGAAAAATATGGTGTTTTTCTTTGTTAAAGTTGAATACTTACAAATAAAGCCAATAAATTATAGACTTAAAAATAAGCGTACCAAGTAATACACAAAACTACATGACTAAATCTATTTTTTTTTTTTAACTCCCACAAGACCCAAAAATGGCCTGAACAAAGGGCAAGACATCTCTTGTTTCTGGTTAAGATGTTTTAACCTCATCAAAATGTCTGTTCTCCTTAAAATAATTTAAAAATTAATGGCAAACCCCAATAAAAATAGGAAGATTGTTATTTTTCCTCTCTGGTGTTAGTCAAGCTGATAATAAAACTCATTTCGAAAAATGATACAGCGACTATCCTCACCAGATATTAACACATATCTCAAAGTCTCTATAATTAAAACAGTGAGTTACTAGAGCAGGAACAAATAGACCAGTGGAAGAGAACAGAAATCTCAAAAGCAGACCCACATACTGCTCAATATTATGAAATGATCAATCACCTTCCAACGTAATATATAATGTTAATACAATTTCAATCAGAATCTTAATAAATCTGGAAGAGAAGAAATTGACAAATTGTTGATAAACAACCACAGTAAGGGGGGAAAAATCTTAAGAGATGCAATCTCTCCACTAAGAAATTTTAAAAAACAGTAAGGGAAAACTTGCCCTGTCATAAAACATATAAGAGATAGATAAAGTAAAGTTGGATCTCTAACACATGAAACTCTGCTTGGAATATACTTTTATGGGTCTCTATAGAGTATTTGTGTAACAGTCTGGGAGAATATGTTAAATTAATAACAGTGGTTAACAGTGACTTAGAAGGGATGATCTGAGGTACTACTACTTTTATTTCCAGTGTAATGGCATCATTATCTTCCACAATTCCTATTATTTGCAATAAAATAATTTTAAGATTTAAAAAAAAATGGACAGAAGCAAAGAGAATACAGTGGAGCCCTTTTGTTATGCTATGTTACAAAGGGATTTCATCCTAAGTATTTCTAACTGTGCAAATTTCATTTGGGTATTTTGACTACGTATTGAAGAGGTGAGATTCTAAGAAATGTGAAGTACCGAACAGCAGCTTTCAACTTGTAGCGGAATCCCAAGGTTCCCTGGGACACCTTAAGAGATTTAATAGGGCCTTCTCCTCCCACCTCACCCATAATTACCTAATTTTTCTTATATTATTTAAGGTCATGTTGTGTAATATTTCATTTAAAGGAAAGGTTTTAGTGCCTAAATAAAGTTTGTAAGAAGACTATCAGGAGAAACATTATATTAAAGGCAATTAGTATTTGTTAATGAGCTCTAAGATCTATTTTATTAGTGAACATTGAGTCACATTTTCTAAATACAAAGAATGCCTTTGTCAGATAACTGGTGTAACTCTCCCAATGGCACAGCTGTCTAGAATCATTCCTCTTACTTAGAAGAACCTCAAGTGCATTTTGAGGACTATAGAGTAAATTATTGCATTTTATGTATTATTGTTTCCTAAAATAATTTTTTGAAATTCTAAGCTAGGTGGACATGTTTTGCAAATTATATCACTCTGACTAGACTTTTGCTTTTCAGGGACAATATTATATTTAAATGGTTTTTGGATAAATGGGAACTCGTGAGATTGCATGACCTGATTTTTCTGCCCACTGTCACTTGAAACATCCCAGCTTCATTACTTTGTTCAGCATGTATGTCTACATGAGCAATACACAAAATTTCTAGACTTTTTATATACCTAGGCTTATGCTCAGTCCTCAAGGGAGAACCACACAATCAATGACTCAGGCAGTACAAAATGGTAAAAGTCAAATAATAAGAATAGCATTAAGGATTACATGAGCATCAGGTCTGCACAGTTTGAAGAAGGGAGAGATCAGAGTTCAGGGAGGAGTAATAAAGGGCAGCCCAGGATATATAGGCCTTGGGCTGGGTGCCTGTACACACATGAGCACCAGGGATGTTCCTGGCTTTTGGCCTGTGCACAGATGGACTTACTAAACTATCTCACTAGGAGCATATACATTTGTCAAAAACTCATAGAACTGTACACTAAAAAGGGTGAAATGTACTTACAACATATAAATTATACCTTAATTACAACAAGGAAAAAGCCCACCTATAAATGACTACCTGGAAGACAAGTTGACATTTTGTAAAAATTTCAAACACATGTGCCCTATGATTTAGCAATTGCACTTTTAGGAACATATTTTCCAGTTATATCCAGAGTACAAAATTATCCATTATACCATTACAGCACTATTGGTAACATTTTAAAATCAAGTGTTTTTTAATAATAATTTAGTGAACACTAAATGATATAAGTCTAATATCAAACATTAAGGACTATAAATATCCAAAAATTGTTTCTGGAAGACAAGCCGGTTTGCACCAATCAGAATGTGAGTAAATGCAATCTCCCAGCCTATAATAAATTGATATAGTCCAGTTAAAAAAACACATGTCCCAACATAGTTGAATACAGACATAGCATTCTGTTCGCCAGGCTTAATCATTACTGACTGACCTTTCCTGGTATTGAAGTTCATGAAAATGCAAAAGTCTGCAGTCTGCATTATTCACAGCCATCCCACCTACCCACGACTGACATCAATGTGTCCTACGGTTCACAAACTCTATCCTGAGTACCTGTTGATCTAACTTTTCTGCATGCATATTCTAGAAGGAAGGCAAGGTAGAGAGAAGAACCTATGGAAGAGCTCATATGCTTTAATAATCAGAGGGCAGAAATAAACGTGGAGGCCTTTCTGTGAATAATGCAAACCACACAGGTCTTAAAGAAAAAGATTAATAAATTCTAAACTTCTATATGACAAAAAATTAAATAAAATATATTTACATCACTGTTAAAATGTCTTAAAAATAAAATAATGAAGTGGGGGAGGGGTGCTTACAATAGTTGTAGACAAAGGGCAAATACTTTGTATTTGTTTACCTTTAATATTCAAAGAACCCCTGCCAGTACATAAAAAGGTAAATAACCAAGGAGAAAATGCACAAGGTATTTACAGAAGGGCTAAAGATAACTAAGACAAGCATAATCTCAAATTCTAAATCTTTTTTTAAATTAAATTAATGAGAATTCAAAATGTGAAGGGGAAAATATCCCTCATAATCACAGTGTTGCTGAAGGCATCTGGTTCTTTCATGTATAACAATACAGTATTTTGGAATGGCAAAGAAGCATTTTAGGTATCTAAAATGTACATACCATTTCACTTCCAAGGAGTTATGCTTGAAAACTATTTACACAGCATAAATATATGTATAGATTTTCTAACAGCATCATTTGTAATGACCAAAAAAAAAACAACACCCTAAACATCTAAAAGTCTATCAACAGAAGGCTGGAAAAGGAAATTACCATACCTCTATGCAAACGTAAGAACTGTACAGTCACTAAAAAGAATAGTTACTCTACACACGGGAAAAGATGCTGAAGATACACTGCTAACTGAAAGAAGCAGTTGCAAAAATAACGTGCAACCTGCCACTGCACATGGACCATTCCTGGGTGAAGTATAAGCCAAAGTGGGAACAAAATAAACATGCCCTTTTGATCAGAGTAATTGAACATGGGTTTGAAATGAAGGAAAGGGGATGACATTCATTTCCTATGTTATACGTTTCTCTATTTTGTGTTTCATTTTTTTAATGTAAGAATGTTTTACTTTTGAAATCACAAAATAAAAGTTTTGAGTATGCAGTTAGAATATATCTTTTGCTAGGAAGATGTTTTTAAAATACAAAGCTTGGAATCTCTTTGTTACATTAAGCTACCCAGATCAGCCAAAATCTCCACCAAAATGTAACTGCTCACTAGATTTCATGGCCTCTTCCTATAGATGGCTTACAGGCACTCAGGATCTCAAGGCACGAGCATGCCACATTAAAACACAAATTCAACAATATGAACATTCTTAAGTTTGCCCTTTAAAAACAAAAGAGAAAACAGCCAAAACACTCATAAAAATGTAAAATCAAAAATGAATAATTGATGAAATAAATTATTATCCCTTGCTTTTTTCTGCAATTCTAAAATTGGGAGAACCCTTTTTAAACTTTAGCCTAAAAGTTGTATCTCCCAACTGAGAAAACCAATGTTTGAGTTTTGAGATACAGTATATGTTCTCATAGTACTTGAAACCCAAAGTAAGTCATACCTTCTGAGAGCATTTCTGGAATGTCTGCTTGATATCTAGGTCCCACTCTGATCTCACCTTTGTCAGCTAATAGTGTTTTCACAGAGGGGTCATAGACCAATGAGTAGAAAAAGGTATCCTGGAAAAAAAACCAGAAAATACCTAGGTAAACTTTTTATAAAACAAAAAATCCAATGTCATGATCATGAAACCACAAAACTTCAGAGAGTGTATTAAATTTCACTTTGGTGAACAAATTCATAAATGTTTAAGGAGAACACGAAGTTATTATCATTATGTAATACAATATAATATTAAATCAAGCCAAAACAAATAGCTTAGAAAAATATATTATAAAGATTTATTATTTGTTCTAGTCTAAAAGAAAACCATTTCACTGCTCTAAAACAGGATTTTGAAAAGCTAGCAAAGTTAAGCCATGTAAGTCAAAGGTAAGATACCTAAAATCAAGTAATCATTTAAACGTCCAAAGCCCACACTAAACAGTATGGATGCTTACATAGATAATAGGCACTCTTACTTTTTGAGTGTCCATCCACATTTTATTAAAATGTACACACACCCACATTAATTAAACTATAGAAGAGCTGAGCTTTTATACAGTTTACTGATTAAAGTGTCACACTGTAAACATTTAATTAAACATTTATTACTTATAATTCTATAGTTCTCCTTTAAATTCTGAAGCATTCATATGTATACATAGGTAGGTATATTAACATACATACATACCACCACCATCAGCACACCCACCTGACTATCCATGATCCCATAAAATGCAACAGAGCCCTAGTTACTGAGCCTAATGGATAAGAAGACCCAGCCACCAGTCCTTAGCTGAATTCTGGGTAACCAATGGAGGCCATCTGAACCAGTAAAGTCTTGTCCTTGCTTTCGGCTATGATTCTGAGGGTCACCTACTGCATGAACCTCTCTATTATATCCTGGAAGGCCGGGCCCATCATTACCATCAGCACTTTACCAAGACCCAGCCAAGCAAACTGCAAATAAGAGTTAGATTATAAAGCTTTCTCCTTTCAAGGTCTTAGAGGCTGTGATAATGGGAAAGGAGAAAACCGAAAAGGAGATACTAAGAAATTCTGCAGTGTTTTAATCATGGTTCACTGTCAGAAAAATTAAACAGCAAAACTGTTCAAAAGTCACACCATTATGTGACATGTAAAAAAATGCTATCTAAGAAAAAGAAAAAAAATCTGCAGATTATATAAACCTGCTTAATAGACTGAAGGGGGGCAGGGGGTAAGGACAGTCAGTACATAATCAGAGTTGTTGTTTCTTTATTTTTTAAGACAGGAGCAACAAAGAATGTTACTAGGTAACTAAAGCTGTTACCACTGGCTCACTATCAGCTTTAAAAGTAGAGGCGCTTTAGGTCACTTTCAGTCTGTAAAATGTTAGTCTAGTATTCCATAAAACAAGATTTTGCACCCTGGCCAGTGTGACTCAGTTAGTTGGGTGTCATCCTGTTCACCGAAAGGTTGCTGGTTCCATTTCCAGTCAGGGTGTGTATGGGAGGCAACCAATCGATGTTTCTCTCTCACGTTGATGTTTCTCTCTCTCTCTCTCCCTCTCCCTCTCTCTAAAATCAATGAAATTGAGTAAAGATTTTTTTTTTAATTTTTTGTTAAAGTTTCCTTAAACGCACTGCCACAGGTCAGTTCCTATCTCAAAGATTGATAAAAGACTAAGTGGTGAAAAAAACAAACACCTTTGCAAACTTTCACCTATTACAGTCCTTAGCATATCCAAATTGCTAACAATAACATAGAAGGCAAAAAATATCATTTTTTAAAAATCCACTCAACAGTCAAATATACCAATAAAATACACTGAAACATATTGAATGTTCCCTCCTTTTATTTCTGCTTCTGTGCTAATTTATAGCATTATCATTATCCATGTTATTATCAACCATTCTGTTGGACAGACTGATGTGAGTACCTTCCTTTCTAAATTTCATAAGCGTAAGTTATAAGGACTATTAGCCTTTTTTTCTGCCTTGAATATTTATTTCCTTTTAGTTTTCTTTATTAGAGTTCCTAATACATAGTAGATCCACACATTTTAGCTATCCTTTTATTTATGTTTTCTTCATTTGAAATATGAGGACAATACTTGAGTATGATAAGAAATATGTCCCTTTAGTTCTTTTTTAAAAACACACACACACACACACACACACACACACACACACACACACACACGTATATAAAATAAAGATTTAGGGAAAACAAAAACACCATGAAACTATATATAAAGGTAAAATACTGAAGCAACACCAACAGTAAAATATTTTCCCCATAATACAAATGCTAATAAGTCACATACAACTGTGTATAAAGTGGAATACAGGTTATTCTGTTTATAAGCATTTCCTCCCTTCATTTGAAGCACATGCTCGAATTCAACCTGCTAAACATAGTTAAAATTTTTCTTAAAGTTTACAGAAAGAAATGTTTTTAGTTGACAAAGTTTATTAGGGTTCCAGGAAAGAGAGCACACCACCAATGGTAAAATCTCATCTAAAAGAGTCTAAAAGAAAGGCTATTTATTAAAAACAATGATGGCAACAAAACAAACAAAAACCAGGAAAGAGGACCAATTACAGTAAAGTCATGTTTTCATAAGCCAAAATATTTCTTCTACCAGCTAAATCATGTGCTGTACTTTATACAGTTTTTTATTACCAACTGAAAAGAGAGAGACAGACACAGGGGTTTTGTCAACTCTTGCCTCAACCAGAAAAATCAAATTATCCAAATACATTTTAGTGATTATACTTTTACTATAATATTGCTATGGTGGTGCAATAATTTGCTACAAAAAGAAATTAATTCAAAAGATATGGCTTCATGCAAAAAATGGAAAAACACACAGAAAACAAGTGTAATTGTGAATTACCTCTTTATCGAGATATGACAATACTGACTCTGTCTCATTCAGAAGGGCAACACTGCATTTCCCCCTGTTGAAAGAGGGGAAAAGTGAATGAACAAATAAGCGTTTAAGAAAGGCTACTCCACCTTCACAGTGGTGATGTATGCAAAATACGGAATATTCAAAATGTAAAGTTGGCATTAAAAATCCAAATGGCAGTTAGGAATATACATAAATGTATATGTGTAAGACTGGCTTTACAATCCTGGTGTTGCATAATCTAAAACATAAGACTGTTTTTGTAGACATTTATAGAGAAGCTAACCTCTATAAATGGAAAGAACTGTTAGGTGGTAAAAGCTTATATCATAAAGCATTTTATAGTTATTTCTTAATTATTCAAGAAAAAAGTACAATGAAAAACCTTCAGATTAAGTCAGTTTCTGAGTCTATAATGAGTAAATATGAGGTGGTTTTATATTTTTCAAGCAAAGACATTATATAAACAATGAAAACCAGTATCTAATATAACCTCCAGATTTTTAAAGAAGCCACTGCATATGATAACCTAAAAATAATACACATTCATATCAGGATTAACTAACTTACCTTTATTGAAACTGCTCTAAAGATTAGTTAAAATTTAAACACTAGGAACTTCTACAGAGCAAGGGGCAAAATAACGATCTACAGGCTTGTGCGGACCTTGAAGTTTGAGAGCAATTACCTTTGATCCTAAGTCCTGCGCATGAGTTTGGAAATTATGTCAATTTAAAAAGGCTGGTCTAGACTTGAGAAAAAGTAAAGTTATCCAAGTAGAGGCATAAATTATGAGCACTTTTAAAATTATCCTCACTAGCTTGAAAAATTCAATATAGCTATATATGTGACAGGAGGATTTTTAAAAATATATTTTTATTTATTTCAGAGAGGAAGGGAGAGAGATAGGAACATCAACGATGCCCTAGCCCAGTGGTCGGCAAACCATGGCTCGAAAGCCACATGCGGCTCTTTGGCCCCTTGAATGTGGCTCTTCCACAAAATACCACGTGCGGGCGTGCACATACAGTGCGATTGAAACTTCGTGGCCCATGCGCAGAAGTCGGTTTTTGGAAAGGAGATAGACGAAACAAGTATACAAGACGAGTGTGGATGGGAGAGTTGGAAGGGGTCGACCTCAGCGAACATACCTCAATCAGATTGAGGACGTTTTTAGCAAAGGCCAGCTTAGGAGTACCCTAACTAACTTAATAACAATGTACCTACTTATATAGTTTAAGTTTTAAAAATTTGGCTCTCAAAAGAAATTTCAATCGTTGTACTGTTGATATTTGGCTCTATTGACTAATGAGTTTGCCGACCACTGCTCTAGCCGGTTTGGCTCAGTGGACAGAGCGTTGGCCTTCGGACTGAAGGGTCCCAGGTTCGATTCCGGTCAAGGGCACATGCCCGAGTTGCAGGCTTGATCCCCAGTAGGGGGAGTGCAGGAGGCAGCCAAATCAATGATTCTCTCTCATCACTGATGTTTCTCTCTCTCTCTCCCTCTCCCTTCCTCTCTGAAATTAATAAAAATATTAAAAAAAAAAAAAAAAAACACATCAATGATGAGAATCATCAATTGGCTGCCTCCTCCAGGACCCCCACTGGGCAACATGACCTCCTTATTCATAGATTGATGCTCAACCACTGACCCATGCTGGCCGGTCTTGACAGAAGAATTTTGACTGTTCAAGTTATAGATATTCGTCAGGGCTCAGAAATATTTTCTAAATATGATGTATTTAATTTTCTAAACAAAAGTCACTACTTGCTCCCCACAAAATAACAAGCAAAAATAAACACATTACAGGGAATACAGTCCATAGTCTATATGTATAAAAGGCTAAGTGACTGTCCGACCTCTGGTACCTATCTTGCGCACTGACCACCAGGGGGCAGACACTCAATGCAGGAGCTGCCGAGCTGCAGTGACTTGGCAGCGGTGGTTCTTGGGTGAAGCACCCTGAAACCAGAGAGGAGGGAGCCTGATTCCTTGTGGGGCTGCATGATTCCACCTTCGGCCTGATTCCACCTTCAGCCATGGGTTATGTTGTTGCTGGGGCACTGTCGCTCCGAATCTGGTTTACTGCACACTTGCGTTTGCGTTCCACACCTTGTAGGACAGCAACTTTGCAGATTGCCCTCTCGTACTCTGGGAACCCTCAGGGGATGTCGGAGAGCCGGTTTCGTCTGATCCCCACAGGCCAGGCCAAGGGACCCCACCTGCTCACTCTGCAGATGCCCATGAGCTGCAGCAACGCCCCAGATGCAGCTGGCTGGGAAGGAACCAAAGGAGGTTGGCTCCAGGGTGTGTCCGGCCTGTCTCGCCCAGTCCCGCCCATTGGACACCACCCGGGACCACCTGCATTAGTCCCTGCACCAGAGTCAGCACCTTGAGCCAGCTCCGCAAGCCAGCATCTCGAGCCCAAAGACCTGAGCGTGAGTTTTCTTTCTTTTTCTCCCCGCCTCACTCCGCAGGTGCCCTTCGAGCCGCGGAGCCACCCCAGGAATTCTAATTAATTTCCTTTCAATGTGTACGAATCTGTGCACCGGGCCACTAGTATTATAATAACTATGCATGTCACCAGGTGAGTGGGGGTGGGGGTGGGAGTATCACTTTGTAGTAAAGTATATGCCCTGGCCAGTGTGACTTGGTTGGTTGAAGCATTATCACATACACCAAGGGGTGGCAAGTTCAATTCCCAAGTTGAGGGTTCAATCCCTGGTTGGGGCGCCTGTGGGTTTCTCACATCTCTCTCACATCTCTCTCACATCTCTCTCTCTCCCCCCCACACCCCCTCCTTCTGTCAAAAAAAATCAATTAAAAAATTTTTAAGTATATGATTGTCTAATCACTATGGTATGCACCTGAAACCAATACAAAATAATACTGATGTAAACTGTATTAGAAAAAATTAAATTAAGAAAAACAATTCAAAGGAAAAAATACCACAAGCAAAGTAAAATACTAGCACATAGGTTAAAAAAAATTAGTTTTCTAAACATTTTGCAATACTTCTATATTCCTCAAATTTAAGATCATTTTCTCCTCATAAAAACATCTTTTTCTGGTAATCACCTTAGGTTAACATCACTTCAAAAGATATCTCTGAGAGCATATGATATCTCCATAATATCCAATCTCTATTTTGGTTACGAAGAGTTACAAAGGTTTTCTATTTTTCTAATATATTTTATTCATGCATATTACTGAAGCAGAAAAATTAACATTATTACTTAGTACACATAACAACACTCAAAAGTCAACAATTACCTGACATGCTTTCACAAAGGACAAAATTATGAGTGGGAAATTGCTCTGTTGCTGTGAGCACATCTACAGCAGCCACAGATGTGCTCTGTAGCTGACCTGTGGCTATGTGCTCCCCCATGCAGCGTGCTTGAATAATAAATGGGCTTTCCAAAAGTAAGCTCCATTTTTTTTGCCTCAATAACAGTTAACAAAGCAATATTTGTAACAATTAATACATTACCTAGAAGAAATAAACTCATTTTTGTTAAGTTCTCAAAAGTTGAGTATTTTTTAATGGGAGGAGAAAAATCTGCTAAATGTTATTTTAATAGATACCACTTTCTTTAGTAGTCACTTGAATTTTAAGGGTTAACAGTCACTGGAAATTCATATAAACAATATAGCATACTTAAAGTCTCCTCCATACTGTCTGAAAGGACAAGAGAAGTTAAACTGAATAATTAAACCATTTCATAATTATATTAGGAGATAGAAAACACTGGTTATACTGTTTTATAGGCACATGATTAAAAAACACCAATAGGATACCTCAGCCAATCTAAAATATAAATTATTTGGGGCAATATAGCTTTTATGCAAAAATGAAAGGATAATAGGTGATTTTAGTTTTTAAGTTTTCTTTACTATAGCTATATTATACTTTTCCCAAATAAAAAATGAAAATCCAACACAAAAATATTCATGTACACGTATTAACAGCTAACAAAGCAGGATGTTGAGTCAGAATTATTTTATGAAGTATGATTATGTAATAAACACATGCTACATGCCAAGAGTTGCCGATAAAAGTAGTTTAAATGAGATTTAAAGTGTTGTCTTCCTTTATGCTGAACAAATATTGGCACATAGATAAACACATGCTAAATTTTAAGCAAACCCCAAACTAAACGAATTATTATCAAACTCTAAATATGATTTATGCTAAATCTCAAGCAATGATCCTCATTGTTCTCTTCCATAATACTTTAATCCTTAAGGAATAAAGATACCCAAATATTGCTGGGGTCCAACCCCAACAGGTCCAGGGGTCCCCAAAGGTGTGGACAGAGTCGGAGAAGAAGGAAGGACATGGAGGTAGCATTCAGTTGATCAGCATAGTTGGTTTCTCTAGCCAGGTTCTATCGCCAGGTTCTTTAGCCAGGTCCTCCTGCCATGTTCTGTCTAGGTTCCCCAGCCAAGTTCTGTAGACAGGTTCTGTCCAGGATCTTTTGCCATGTTCTCTTGCTAGGTTCTGTCTCTAGGTTCTTCAGCCAGGTTCTCTCGCTAAGTTCTGTGTCTAGGTTCTGTGTGTCGTTGTCTTGTTACATCTGTATTTATACCAGTTGATTTTAATCCTGTCAATTTCTATTCCAAAGGTTAGGGTGTTTCTTATCTCCATTCCAGGGAGTAAAGATTATGTAGCTTAAGCGTGATTGTTCTTAGTTAAAGTGATTAACTACCCACCTGGCACTTAGTTAAGGAGTTTTATCTCCTCCCTAACTTCAGGGAAAAATCCCTACCTGGGGAAACAACCTTTCTCTGAGAGGTGACCTTGGTTAAAACACATAGCGCTAAGGGGAGCAAACATATTAAGAACAGTATGCTATATACGCCAGGTCCCTTAAAACATATGCTGTGCAGACGTTTCTTCTCTGCAGCAACTGTGTCAAGCAGCAAGGATGGACCGGCTCCCGGCAAAATATGATGATAAAATATATCAAAGACCATACACAAAGAAAGAACACTCCAGGCCCATATAATTATTCATACTGCTTTTCTACAGGGAACCATGCAAG